TTTGTGGTTGATGTCACAGTTGCCATTCCATCGCTTCTAATCCATGACATCAGCAGGCCAACCCACCCTATTTGCATAAAAAAGAAGGCTGCATATAAATTGCCAGTTCCACCTACTCAGCAGAGGAATGCATATACAGTGGTGCCTCCCAAGACAAATGCCTTGCAGGAGAAAAATCTCGCAAGCCAAAGGTTTTGGCAATGGGGTTGATGACTCACAAGACAAATGTTCCTATGGCCGTGCTTCGCAAGATGAATATTTTCCGTTTTTTGTTTCTGCCTCATGTTTGCTGATTTTTAAATGTTTTGATTGAATTTTTTAAAATCATCAGCACAATATGTATGGCTTTAAAGAGCACTTTGTAAACCAAATTTGACGTTGTGCTGACTTTTGTGGCCCATAGGAACACATTAATTAGATTTCAATGCATTCCTATGGGAAAACGCATTTCGCAAGATAATTTTTTTGCAAGACAACATTAACCGTGGAACAAATTAAATTTGTCTTGCGAGGCACCACTGTATATCAAATCCCACATTGCGTAAAAAAAAAGGCAGTGAGTCTCGTAGATTATGTCTTGAAACAGAACTGGACTCAGATTCCTCAGCAACTAATTCTGAGAAAGTTAAAAAGTTATCATTATTGTTTATAACTGTTTGTTATTTTATTAGTTGCCCAGAGTAGTAGCCTAGCTCCTGGTTGTGTGGGATAGAAATGTAAATAAATAAATAAATAAATATTTAAAAACTCAACAGTCACACTTTTGACTCTGAATGAAAGTGTTGGCTTAGCTTGGATCACAGAGATGAGGTGGCTGAGATGGGCTCTAGAGGGTAAATTTTCATTATGTGGACAAACTTTTGGTTGTTTATTCTTATACGCAGATTAGTACGTAGTGGAGTTCAGCCAGACAGAGACTCAGAATCTCTGCGTATTAAGATGGTACATTCCAGGAGCCACATTATATTTTGACATCTCTTTGAAATTTCCTTCATGTCTTGGGAAATGATGCTGTCAAAATCTGACTGAGCTCTGAAATGGGAAAAGGTCCCTGGCAATTGTTGTGTAGTTGCCTTAAATGGGGACAGGACCCTGGAAATTGGTGCAAGTATCCTCTTCCATTGAGTGGAATCAAAAATGTTCTATGATTTTCAGGGGAACTGGAGGTGATTAAATCAGAAGGACAATGTACAGAGCAGCAATGCGAGAAAATGCAGAATGAATTAGACTGAACGAAGTCTAAAGCTCGTCTGAAGCCCTACCTTGCAACCATGATGGAAGCATAGAAATTGTTCTTCTGTTGTCACCATGGCATCTTCACAGAGTTGACCTGTGTAGCTCTTTCAAGCAGTTGAATATATTTAACATTTGAATTTCCTGCCTTTTTTCCCTGCCGTTTTATGTTCGTAAGTGGAAGCTCCGGTCGCAAGTAGAAGCAAAATTTTGCGGCCTGAGCTGGTCATAACTCGAAATGGTCGTACATAGGGGCATTCGTAAGTCGAGGCACCACTGTATGTTGTGCTCCGTGAACAGTAGAAAAGGCAGGATCTTATTGTTTATGTCTGCTTGCATAACAGAAGTTGTGTAAATCTTGGGAACAAGTTGCCACCCATTAACAAGGTGCGGGTTGCATTCAATAGCATACGTCCAATTGTGCAGTTGGAGTGAACCAGCAACTCATCCTGTTTTCCTTGTTCTTGCATTTATACTTTTCTTAAATTGAGCACTTCAACTCTTTTTGCCCCCAGAGGTCTACAGTCTGGTATGCAGGCAGAACTCTTCTGTAAAGAAACAAGCCAATAAACTTGACAAACAGCAACTCATTAATGAGTGGCAATATGCCACCAAGACTCCTGTGATTTTCTTACAGAACAGTAAATCAGCAATAGGATTCTGTCCTTTAAAAAATTGTATGCCTGCCTGCTTTGTCCTCATATTAGTTCTTGCAATTGGTGTGCCATTTTTGTTTTACGTAACTTCACTTGGTGGCATGAAAAAAATCGTCATTTTGTTGTTGTCCACAGCCGTGACCTCTCATGGATTCCACAACTTGTTTGCTTTTTTCTACTATTCTCATTGTTGTTACACATGTATGTACACACATGCGCACACACCCCTTGTGTGTTGTTTCACATCTCTTCACCTACTCCTCATTGCTTCCCTGTCGGTTGACCCCTCTTTGACATATTGCCCCGCTACTAGGCAGCAAGAAACTCATCAGCACATAAAACACAGTACTGATTCTGTGGGGCAACTGGATTAATATTCACCAAAATGGTTCTAGTCTGGCCAGCATCCTCTTCTGGCTGAAGTTTTAAAAGCCCTGGAGTCCATATTAAAGCTTGTCTATTCCCTAGATATTTTCTGCCTGTCACATACAATTTATATTTGTTATGTCTTTTCCCTGACGAAACCTTGGCAGGAAATGTTTCTGTATTCCTTGTCTGCCTGCCTTCAGTAGTTACCAGGCAAAAATGGTCTGAAGAATTTGACATATTAATGAAAGCTCACTTTGAAATGTAAATAATCTTTAAGGTCCCACAATGTCTTTGTTGATTTATTTGTTTTTTATTTTATTTTGCTTGAACAGGCAAAAATAAGCTATCTTCTTTGTTATAAGTACTGGAAATTGTTCATTAGCAGCAACTTCTCTGATTGGCTTTTCACAAGTCCTTCCTCTTGTCGCCTAGCATAATCTTCATGGATACAGAAATACTGGACACCTTTCAGCTATTGTGAAGGTTCTTGATTATTATAAAGATGTTGGCCTCTCTCTCTTGTATTCATTCTGTACAGTGTTTAAGTGAGCTATGAGTTATCTGACTGTAACAACCCCATATCAGTGGTAACGTAACAAACATATTGCTACCACATTAACAAGTCTTTAAGGGTCACAGAGTCTTTCCAGATTGTATTCAACTCAATGGCATAGACAGCAAGTGGCCGCTTCTGACAAATGTTTCAGAAGTAAAAGGTCAATTACTTCATCATATCCTTTAAACCCCCTTGCACCTTTATGCTTCTTTAACTGAAATGGAAAGTGTGTTTGATTTTTCGCAATTGCAATTCCTAGAATCCTGCAGTTGGAAGATGCTGGGAGCTGTAATCTAAAAAAGTAACATTTGTCAATTAACTTTTTCCATCAGATTTATTTTATGTTCAGATTCTAAATATCCATGATTTCTAACTATCAATTTTTGTCAATTGCTGCACTAATTTCTGCTGGATTTAAATCATCTGCAGCCATCTTCTGACAGGAAAAAACAACAACAATTTGTTTTAAATGAGGTGCTGGAAGAGAGTTTTGCAGAATCCCTGGACTGCCAGAAAGACAAAGAAGTGGGTCTTAGAGTAAATCAAGCCTGACCTATCTCGAGGCAAAAATGTTGAAATTGACGCTGACTTACTTTGGTACATCATAAGAAGGCAGGATTCTCTGAAAAGACAATAATACTAGAAAAGGTTGGACAGCAGGAAAAGAGGAAGGCCAAACACAAGATGAATTAACTCCCTAAATGAACCACACACTTGAATCGAAAAGAGCTGAGCAGGGCTATTAAGGACAGGACATTTTGTAAATCACTCATTTATAAGATTGCCATAAGTCAGAGGCAACTTGACAACACATAACAACAACAACAAAAATGGTACACTTTATTTGAAGACAGATTATTTTGGTCTTATTAGAAATGGTCCATAGTACCTATTTATTATAGTTTTTGGACCAGTTCCACCATTTAGTAACAATACATTCTGATTCTGTGAAGCTATCAGAAAGAAACGTGGAGGAATGCAGTCAACTAGCTTTTAACATTCCAGTTTCTTATAATAATATGATTCATTGCATTTTCTTCACATTCTAAAATTCTAAACTTCATTTCATGTGTTATTCATATTATTGGGTATATTAATCTGTTTCATCCTGTGCACTCCATCATCATACTGGTTATTATCAAAGCCTGAAAACATTATCATTTGAGACTTCAGCTCCCAGAATTCACAGGCTAGTAAAGCTCACTGGATAGCTCAAAGGTTTAGGTATCTGGCTGCAGAGCCAGTGGTTGGAAGTTTGATTCCCCACTGTGCCTCTTACAAGTAGAGCTGTCCTGTGTGGCCTTTTGAGCTGCACAGTCTCAAAATACCCATAGAAGATAACACTAAGCTAAGCCACTTCTGAGTACCCCAAACCTTGAAAACCCTTGAATGGGTACATCGGAGCTGACCTGATGGCATGTAATTGTTCGTCGGAACTGACCTGATGGCATGTAATTGTTCCTATTGCTTCTGAATACTTCTGTGAAGCCAGGTCCAGAGACCGATCTACAACTGTATTTGATGAATATGAGGAACCCTTCTTATTCTCATCCCTCAGGATGGGAAATGGTGTGATTCTTCCCAATGGTCCCTTCTGATATTTTGAGAAGGTATTATCTGGACCAGCTGCAGTCCCCAATGTTCTATGAGACTTTCTGAATCGCTATTCAAGTCAGTACTACAAAGGTATTATCTGGACCAGCTGCAGTCCCCAGTGTTCTATGAGACTTTCTGAATTCAAGTCAGTACTACAGAGTATAAGTGTGGCCTGATGACAAAAGCTTCAGAAGTAAAGGCCCCATTATTCCTTTCCCCTTCTTAATGCCTTTGAATCAAGCAAGATGATAGCAGCTTGAACAGAAGGCTAAATTTCCTCTATCAAGTTACTATTCCACTTCCCAGCAGTTCCTTTAGTATGTTTTGGAGCAAGGCAAAACTCAGATGTCCTCTTCTAGCAGATAGACTAAACAAAATGCTGTCACCTCCAGACTGAGTTAACTCCCACTTCTTCTTCAAAACCTTATCTTCATATAGGTGGTCCTTGAACAGTCAGGTAGACGTGATGCTTATTTGTTCAGATTATTTGGCTTGGAGACTAAGGACAACATTGATCCAGCTGTTAATCATAAGGACAAAAAAATTGATTTTCTGTTATTTTAAAGATTGTCTAATAGTCTGGTTACAAC